GGACCTCCTGGACACGTAGCTCAGTCAAGCCTTTTTTTTTTCTGAGACAGAGTCTTGCTCTGCTGCCCAGGCTGGTATGCAGTGGTAGAATCTTGGCTCACTGCAACCTTCATCTCCCAGGTTCAAGCGATTCTCAGGCCTCAACCTCCTGAGCAGCTGGGATTATAGGTGTGTGTTACCACACCTGGCTAATTTTTTATATTTTTAGTAGAGACAGGGTTTCATCATGTTTGCCAGGCTGGTCTCGAATACCTGACCTCATGATCCACCTGCCATGGCCTCCCAAAGTGCTGGGATTACAGACATGAGCCACTGTGCCCGGCCGGGGTGTTCCTTTTTTAAGACAGGGTCTCACTCTGTCATCCAGGCTAGAATTCAATGGCATAATCATCGCTCACTGCAGCCTCGAACTCCTGGGTTCAAGCAATCCTCCTGCCTCAGCATCCCCAGTAGCTGGGACTACAGGTGCATGCCACCATGCCTGGCTAATTTTTAAATTTTTCTTTTGCAGGGACAAGGTCTTGGTATATTGACCAGGATAGCCTCAAGCGATTCTCCTGCCTTGGCCTCCTAAAATGTTGGGATTATAGGCATGAGCCACTGTGCCTAACCAAAAAGAGAAATTAATTACTTGATTACTTAATTACTTGATTACCATATATATATACTGATTTCATTTTAAGCTACTACGTGTAGGGGTGTGTGTGTGTGTGTGTGTGTGTGTGTAAAAATGTGTGGAGGATGCAAGTATACATATCAAATGTTAATTTTTTTTGGAGGAGTAATTAATTACATGTAAATTTTTCTTCTTTATTAAAAAAGAAATCTCTAGGCCAGGCACAGGGGCTCACATTTGTAATCCAGCACTTTGGGAGGCCGAGGCAGGAGGATCACTTCAACCCAGGAGTTTAAGACCAGCTTGGGCAAGATGACAAGACCCTGTCTACACAAACAAATAAAATTAGATGGGTATGGTGGTGTATGTCTGTGTTCCCAGCTACTTGGGGAGTTGAGGTGGGAGGAGCGCTTGGGTATGGGAGGTTGAGGCTACAGGGAGCTTTGAGGGAGCCACTGCAATCCAACATGGGTAACAGAGTGAGACCCTGTCTCCAAAAAAAAATAAATCTCCCACCCAATCTGAGGCTATTCATTGCAAAAATAAAGATAATTCATTCTAAGAAATAAGATGTTTGACCTGAATTTAAACTTTATACAGCAGGGATTCCATTAAGAAAATGGAAAAATGAAAACCCAAAAGGATTACCCAGCTAAGCCCAGTTAACCCACAGTCCCATAAGAAATAATAATAAATTGTTGTTATGCTACTAAGTTTTACAATGATTTATTATGCAATAACAGATAAGAGCAACATTTTACCATTCTCCTCTCACTCCACACCAGCCACATTGCCTTCTTTCTGCCCCTCGACTATACGAAGCTTGTTCCTGCTTCAGGGTCTTTGCTCCTGACTTCCTGCCGTGAACTACTCTGCCTCCAACTCTGACAAGGTTGGCTCCTTCTCATCCTTCTGGTCTTAGCCCTGCCAATCATATACCACCTGTTTACATCCTTCTAAGAACCATGTCACTCTGGAACTATCCAATGTAAAAGTTTATTCACTATCTCCCCCGTCACACTATGAGTTCCATCGGGGCAAGGACCTTATCTGGCTTATTCTGGCCTGTATCCCCTGCATCCAGACCAATCCTTGACACTCAGGAAGTGTTTCTTACATATGTGTTGAAGGAAGGCAGAAAGCTGCCCAGAGATTGTAACTCCTTCAAACTCCCTCCAGGGACCTCAACTTTCCTACACATTTTCCTTTCCCAAAAACTTCGCTGTAAGGCACAGATTTCCTCAAACCCTCATGTAATTCTTACAACTCAATGAACTCAAACAAAGCTATGGGGCAATAAACAAGTGTTTCAGCAACACCCCCCCCTCCCCCGTTGTCCTTTCTCTTCCTACGAGGATTGTGTGGTTTTTCTGGCTTTTTTGAATTTGTTTTTGGAGCTGCTTTTAAAGTTGGTGGCATTTTTTTTTCTTGGCATATTGTCAATAGGGGCAAATCTCCATCCTTTGAGGGCAGGTCTGCCTTCTGGCAATAGCTCCAGGTCATTTGGGGGTGAATGGGGGAGAACCATGCAGGTAGACAAACGGGAGTGTGCTTTCTGGGATCAACAATGAGGAAGATTTAAATCTGCCATGACTGAGGAGCCTCAGTAGCACATGAACTAGGTCCAAAGGCAAGTCCCAGAAAGGAAATGGCAGCTGTTAAGGGCACAGCTATTTAATCCATGGTGATTACGAACAGGTGCTTTGGGACTGGGCGCAGTGGCTCATGCCTGTAATCCCAGCACTTTGGGAGGCTCAGGGGGGAGGATCACTTGAGGCCAGGAGTTTTTTTTTTTTTTTTGAGACGGAGTCTCACTTTGTCGCCAGGCTGGAATGCAGTGGTGCAATCTCAGCTCACTGCAACCTCCGCCTCCCGGGTTCAAGTGATTCTCCTGCCTCAGCCTCCCAAGCAGCTGGGACTACAGGTGTGCACCACCACGCCCAGCTAATTTTTGTATTTTTTGGTAGAGACGGGGTTTCACCATGTTGGCCAGGATGGTCTTGATCTCTTGACCTCATGATCCGGCTGCCTCGGCCTCCCAAAGTGCTGGGATTACAGGCGTGAGCCACTGCGCCCGGAGGCCAGGAATTTAAGACTAACCTGGGCAACACAGCAAGACCCCATCTCTACAAAACAAAACAAAAAAATTAGTCAGGTGTGGTGGCACATGCCTGCAGTCCCAGCTCCTTGAGAGGCTGAGTGGGGAGGATTTATTGAGTACAGGAATTTGAGGTTATAGTGAGCTACGATCATACTACTGTATTCCAGCCTGGGAGACAAGCAAGACGCTGTTTAAAATATAAATATATAAAATAACTGGTGCTTTGAATTCGGACTTCCTGGGTTCAAAACCAAGCTCTACAGCTTTCAAGCTTCATGACCTTGGGCAAGAGATCTAACTCCTTTCTAATTCAATTTCTCTAAGTGAAAAGCATAGACGAAAGTAACAACCCACAGATTCAGGGAAAGATTAAGTGAGTCAATACCTGTGAATACTTAGATCAGTGTCTGGCACATAGAAGGCACTAAATAATTTTTTTTTTTTTTTTGAGACAGTCTCGTTCTATTGCTCAGCCTAGAGTGCAGTGGCACAGTCTTGGCTCACTGCAACCTCCACCTCCTGGGTTCAAGTGATTCACCTCCCTCAGCCTCTCGAGTAGCTGGGACCTGCCACCACGCCTGGCTAATTTTGTATTCTTAGTAGAGACAGGGTTTCACCACGTTGGTCAGGCTGGTCTCGAACTCCTGACCTTGTTATCTGCCCACCTCGGCCTTCCAAAGTGCTGGGATTACAGGTGTGAGCCACCGCACCTGGCATGAATTTTAGCTGTTATTATTCATTAAAGATTTACTAACAGATCCCAGCTGTCTACTCAACAGCTCAATGACCTTGGGAAGTTATTTAACTTCACTGGGCACAGTTTTCTCACCTGTAAAATGGAAATTAATAATAATACCCATTTCACGAACTCTCAAAGGCTTAAATAAAATAAAGCATGTGAGCAATAATAGTGACAGCTAACACTAGCTGGTTGCTTAGTGTGTGACATGCGCTTCATGTACTACAAGGCAGATACCATCAGTGCTGGCTCAGGGCTCAGGACTGTCTCACTCCTTGGAATGTGTTTTTTTTTTTTTTTTTTTTTTT